CCTACTAACCCTACCAATAGGAGACTCGATGAGATGGCTGCCAGACAGAAGCAACGTGAAGAGGAAGCTGAGGCCCGCCGTTTGGCCCGTAAGACTGGTGCTCCTGAACCCGAGCCCGCTGCTGCTGCCCCTGCTCCTACCGAGCGCACTGCTCCTCGCCTCAACCTGGCTCCTCGCACTGCTGCTGCTGGTGGTGGTGGCTGGAGAGAGCGCCAGGCCGCCAAGGAGGCCGCTGCTGCTTCTGGTGCCCCCAGCAGCGCCGCGCCCGCCGAGTCGGCTCCCGCGCCGCGGGAAGAGGCTCAGCCTCCGCGTCGCACGGGTGGTGGCTACGTGCCTCCTCACCTGCGCTCGGGTGGCAATGCCACCCCGGCCGCGGCTCCGGCTCCTGCTCCGGCTGCCTCGTCGGAGCGTTGGGCGCCCCGTCACGCCCGCGACTCCAGCTCTTCCCAGCAGCAGCCTCCCTCCCGCACTCAGACTCCTGCTTCCGAGGAGTCCAAGCCCGCCGCCTCTTCGGGTGGTAAGTGGGTGCCCAAGTGGAAGCAGCAGCAGGGCCAGTAGATATCCTCTTCCTACTAGCATGTTTTCTTTACTCTCTCATATGACATGACCGACTTTTGATCTTAAAAAAGTTTTCTCTTTTTTACTTTCTGGGAAAGAAGCAAGAACAAAGAAAACCCCAATCCTCTCGTTACAGAAAAGGGGCGTGTATGTGTGTGTGTGTGTGTGTGTGTGCGCGCGTGCGTGCGTGATCGATATGATGATGACGATGATGAAACCATCTCTCCATCTTTATTTCTCCCTCTCCTAACTGTTCTCCTCCCCCTTACTCTCCCCTTTTCGTACTTCCCCTCCCTCTCGGCCTTTTTGTCTCCTCTCCTTTTCTTCTTATTCTTCTTCTTCTCCCTCTGACATAAAAGAGATACCGTCATGTCCTATTCCCTCTTCATTTCCGCCCTCTACTACTACAACCCTAGGATATGAATTTTGTTTATTTCGAGAACAAAAATTTACGGATTCAGGGGAAACCGGATGCTCTTCTTCTTCGACATAGTGTAGTTAGTCGTGTTTCTTGCTGTTGCCTTTTTTACCCCTCCTGCTTTATCTAATTTGTCTTCTCTTCTCTATACTAGGCAAATCTTTTTTTCCAAATGTTGACCAGATGCATAACTACATCTCACGGGTGACTTTCATATTTACTAAAACTTCTTTCTCATAGGGTTTCTGGTGTAGATGCATGTATTCACAACTGATTTCTCTGTTTCATATATGCATCATCGCGTAAGATCAATGACATGAGAGCGATGCTTGCAAGAAAGACCAAGTTCATTAATGAATCCTCCCAGAGAGGGAAGAAAGAACATAACCGATAACGGAAAATCTAAAAATTAGAGACTTCGACCAGCGAAAGATAAGAAACAAGAACCAAAAAAGGCTCTTAAGTGAATAAGTAAGAAGCTTATAGCGTGGGGAAAAAAGGCAATGTCTATATACTTGATGAGGAGAAAAATAGCAAGGAAAAAGGGAGGGGGTGATGCGGTGTGTCATTGGGAGATAGGGGAAAGGAAGTAAGTAGGTCATGACACAGGTGCTGTGATCGTTTTTTCTTATAAGGTGAGATGTTGGAGTTAGATCAAAGATATTTTTCTTTTGTATGTGCTTCCTTGAAGGAGGTTCATCATGCGGCAGCTACTTCGGCGCCAGGGGTAGCGGTAGCTCCAGCGGCTCCGAAGAGCTTCTCCCGCCATTCACCGCAGACCGCCTCAAACCCACTGACCACGTCGCCGCAGACTCGGCCGGCTTCTCGGTCGCGGAGCCGCCGGTCCCAGTCCCCGCGTTCGATCCACCGCGTTCCTTCCTCGCGGCCCTCTTCTTCGCGGCGGAGCTCCGCCACCAGTTCCCGTGCGGATCGGAGCCGTCGCGAGGCGGTGGCGGTCAGTTGTCGGGATTCGTACAGCGTATCGCTCAGGCCCCGGAGGGAGACGGTGATGTCGGACGTCTGCGAGACGAGACTCTGGAGGGAGACGAGCGGGTTGAGGGCTGAAGACTGCGAGGGGGTGGTAGGCCGGGAGGAGTTACGGGGCTGGTCGGGGAAAGGGTAGGGAAGGTTGGGCAAGAGTTCTTCATCGATGAGCGGGATGAGTGCATCAATGGCATCCTCCGACAGAAGCGGGAAAGGCGAGAAGAGGAGGGGGTGGATGAGGGTTTGAAGGGCCCGCGTTTGGTGTGTTAGATGCGACGTGATGGAGGAGTGAGCGGTAATGAGCCTGGAGAAAATCTTGCGTCAGTAACACACTCCCACTCAACAGCAAGGGCTAGATGAACGTACCTCATGGCATTGTTCTCGATGCCGCTCTGAGCGCCCAAATCCCGCAAAGCCTCCACCGCTCGTTGAATCACGTAGTCATTCTCACTGCCGTTGTTCTCAATGCCTCGTCGAGCCAGACTCTCAATCTCTGCCATCTGTGTTTCCAGACTCGGGGGCATATCCGATTCCTCGAAGTCCGAGTCGTTCCCGTAGTCGGAGCCATCGTACTGCGACTCGTACCGGCGGTGTTGTCGCTGGGTGCCATTGCGCGTTTTGGGCCGCGGGGGTTGCAGCGTGGAATTCCGCTCCGGGGAGTAACCGGAGGACGGGGTTCGTGTATGATGGTTGTATGCAGCTTCGTCCTCGCTGTGAGTCGCGTATTGTGCGTGGTCGGGAGCCCCGGTGTCCTGCCCGGAGGCGTAACCTCCGTAGCCCCCTTCCTCCTCCTCCCATGCGTCGGCCAGCTCATCCGCTAGGTTGCCCAGGCCGCCTCCACCGGCCGCGCCGCCGAAGTCGACCGACATCCGGTGCGATTCATTGATGCTGTTGGCACGCTGCGGGCGAGAGTCGGTGGGAGAGGGAGGAGCGGATGAACGAGGTGTACGCGGCGACCGAGGCGACTGATAGGAAAAACCGTTGGGAGCGTAGGTGCCTGGTGAAATAGGGTCGAAGTCGATGTTGGACGATCGACTCCGGGTATGGCGGTGAGATAAAGTCAGGGGAGGGGATATGGACGGCATGGTTGCGGTTTCAATGAGGTTGGGAAAATTGACTGAGTCTTGTAAAGAAATCTGTAGTCTGATGTAGTAGCAGGAGGTCTATCCTCGAGCGAGTAAGGAAAAAGTAGTCGTCTCAGAATTCGTCAAGTGGGCTGGGCTGGGGGCGGGCTGCCACGGGGTAAACAACAGGGGAAAGTTAATATGGGAGGATCGCCGACCGCATCACCAGGATGAGTGAGAAAGAGAGGAAAAGAGGCAAAGACAAATGAGTGTCGAGTGATAAACAAGTCTTGTTGGAAGTGTGAATTCTAGTCGTTAAGATAGGAGCATGAACGAGGGGAAGGGGAAGGGGAAGGGGGAGATATAGAAGGAGAAGGAGAAGGAGAAGGAGAAGAAAGTATGAATAAAGAAGAACTAATATTGAGGCCGAAAACAATAATCACTCAAGTTAGCCTGCCTGTCTTGCCTGCCTTTCCGCTGCCCGCCGCCCGATTCTCTCTGCCTGTGACCGCCCTCATTCCTTCCCCGCACCATTTCGAGAATTTGATTTGATTTGACCTCCAACAATACTGCAGCAACTTCTCCAACCTCAACATAACATCCACTTCCATTCTCTCGTTTCTTCTACGTTCCTAACTCTCTCTTCCCCTCATATACAGACTCAATTCCTCCCAAAGCATCCCACCGACCAAAAAGCAGCCACAATGTCCTCCATCCGCCGCATGTCCCCAACGGACCTCCTCTCCCTCAACCTCACCAACCTCGACCCATTGACCGAAAACTACGACCTGGGCTTCTACCTGAACTACCTCATGCGCTGGCCCTCCCTTTTCAGCAGCGTCCAAGACCGTCAAGAAGGAATCGTCGGCTATAGTAAACAACCCCCCGGCCCCTCCCACCCCACCCCCCACCCCCCCAAAACTAACAGCACGCAACACAAAAACAGTCATGGGTAAACTCGAAGAACAACCCGCTCAGATGCGCCACTCGGAACACTACACGCCCTGGCACGGCCACATCACCGTTCTGACCGTGGCGCCCGCATGGCGCCGGCTGGGCCACGCGCGCCGCCTCACCGAACGCCTCGAGCGGGGGTCCGATATCAACGATGCCTGGTTCGTGGATCTGTACGTGCGCGCCGGGAATAAGGTCGCGGTGGATATGTATAAGGGAATGGGGTGCGTATTTTTCTCCTCTTTCTGGATTGAGGCCGTGGTGGTGGTAGTGGTGGTGTCAATGCTAACAATTCGGCGCAGGTACTCGGTCTTCCGGCGAGTCGTGGGGTATTACAGTGATGATCCGTCGGGGATGTCGGAGACGGGCGAGGATGCGTTCGACATGCGCAAGCCGTGCAGTCGCGATAAGAACCTGCAGCATGTTCGGGAGAAGGGGGAGGAGTTCTTGGTTGATCCGGTGGATGTTTCGTGATTTGGAGGTTGGCAGGGGGCAGTTTGGTATGGAGAAGGTTGTAGCCCTTGGCTCTTCCATGAGGGCGGCCGTGTGTAAGTCTTTTGAGTCGGGAAGTTGCAGTAGCGAGAGATGTTTGTGCTTGGTTGTTTTCCTCGCAAAAGCTTGGTGTTTGGGCGTTGGCAAAGTCGATTCGATCTAGATGGCTATAGTCATGAGACTGATTGTGTGAGACCACATCTTACAACCGTGATTCGTGGCTACAGTTCTATGCATGGACAAGGATGCGAGTGGTACGGTAACCATATATGCATTTTGAGATATGTATCGTAGGATGATGCTGCAAATGTTTCTTTTCCCCGGCAAATGAAATCAAGTTTTGTTTTCTATAACGCCTGCTTTCCCGTTATGCAAATGAATGGTATGTCCCAAAAACGTAATTTGGATGAACCAGCGTATTATGATATGCTTACTATAAGCAGAGTTCCACAGAAGATAATGGCAACATCGAAGTGCTCATAGCTAGTCGGCCTGCGGTGCTTCGCATGTGATAAGGTAATCACGAGATTTTAAGCCCGCACCAGTAAATGAGGACCAGTGCGAGTATACCGCAGGGCCGCGAAGATAGCAGAGGAGGTGATGAGGCAGCACCCAGTGAAGAGCTGCACGCCCAGATATTCCCCGGTGTTGCTGAGGATTGCGCCGCCGATGGGGGTGCCAATCAACAGACCGACTGAAGTCACAGCGAAGAGCATACCCAGACGAGTTCCCAGGTCACGGATGTCTTTGGTTATGGAAGCCATCACCACCGGAGGAAGAGAGACAAAGCCGCCGGAGCAGAGACCGTACAAGACGGACAGAACGATGATGCCGGGGACGTTGTGAACACCAATCCACGCAAAGGCCAGGATGGCAGTTGCCGTTGCAGCAGGCAGAAGCACGTTCATCGGTCCAATGTGGTCGGCGATGAAGTTGGGGCAAATTCGACCGAAGGTCGAGCCCGCGTTCAGCATGGAAAGCAGGTAAAAGCCCAGATTGGCGTCGACGATTTTGGTGTCGATGGCATACGACTGGATGTAGAAGAGGAAGTTGTAGAATCCCAGGAAGCCTAGGAACATTCCGACGCAGAACATGGTGAAGACTGGCTCCTTGAACGCAGACAGCTGCACGAGCTTGCGCTTATCCTTCGGAGGAAATCGCATGCGCATGATACAGAACGAGATGCAGCAGGTCCCAAAGGAGAGAAATCCCACGGCTCGAGTAGCCCATGCGAAGCCAGCCCGCCGTTGCAGCTGGTCGAACATGATGGGGTAAATCACGCCGCCAATGCTGCTCCCCGAGGCGGCCAGTCCGTTCGCCAATCCTCGCTTCTGCTTGAAGTATTGGGGTAGAATGGCGACAGACGGAACGAACAGGCATCCAGCGGAAAGACCGAGTAGGATACCTTGGCACAAGATCAATTGCCAGAACTTGGTAGACAGACTAACCATCATAAGACTGAAGGGCAGCATGATGGTTCCGAACCCTAGGAGCGCACGAAAGTATCCTGCGTCAAAGAGAGGGCCTGTCACCACGCCGAATAGCATGAGGAGGAAAGCTTGCAGCGATCCAATCCAGGCAATCGAGGAGGAGGACATGTGCTTCAATGTATTCTCTTCGTAATATGTCTGAAACGCGCCCCAAGTGTTGATTACTCCCCTAGGCAAGTCAGCAGCCCGCAAAGACAGGGTCATACTTTACGATAGTAGAACATACCATGAGTTGAAGAACAAGAACCAAGAACCTATCACTTGGATCCATGATATGAGACCGGTATCGAAGGTGGGCTCTGGGGCTTTGTCGTCCGATGGAGAGACAGAGATTGTATGGCTGCCATTTTGATCAGTGGTGCTGGGAGACTCTGCGGAGACCTTCTCCTTCAGATCAGCATGGGTTCCCATCTTCCACCACGATTATTTGGGGATCGAGATAATCGTCGCGTGGAAGGTCAGCGCCAAGGCAAGGTAGAGGGAAAGACCGACAGCGTTTGCAATCTTGACACGGCTACAGCAGACGTGTAGCGACACAAGTATGGAGGCCCCGCGAGCAAAGGCCTGGCACAGCTGATCCCTTGTATATAAAACAATTGAGCAAAGGCCTGAGTAGGTGGCAGCGTAGTATGATTAATAATGTAATTTTTTTCGGGGCCACGCCCTAGGACTAAGCTTGGAAGCTAGAAAAGTAGAAAGAAAAGCTGACTGCATTAGAGAAAAAGCCGGTCCAGGGGTCCACTCAAATTTGGCTAAGCCGTGTTGACGCCAGCGTATTGGAGATGGTCAAACGACCAGTCAACAGTGAATATGGGTGCCAATGGCCTGATGGCTCCATCAGAGGAGAGTATCCTACTGGACGTCCGGAGGGTGGGTTCCGGATATGAGGATGGAGACTCTTGCCGAGGAGGGAGGAGTCCTTACCCCAGGGCCCATCGACCACATCTTATCTCGGTGATAGCTGGCAAAACTATTACTTGAAGGTCGAAGGGTTCGTCAGATGACAAGAAAGAGGGGTATGAACTATGACCCCAAGATCCTGATCCTGGAGAAGAGGAGACCTATAACCTTGTGCCGTCACTGCCGGGCGTCCGAATGGTTTTACTGTGGCCAAGATATGGCATGGAGCTCGTGCATTAGCAGGACGATCAAGGCGCATGTTGGCGAGGAACAGGGGTCAGCAGCGTGCCGATTTATCCAGGCGGAGAAGGAGTTCTCGGAGTCTCAGGTTCTTCAATCTTGAGAATCGAGACTAGTCTGATTATATTGAATTCTGACGCAGCAGGTTACACTGATTCCGTACCGGCACTGGCTGATAGAGGAAGGCCTGGTGGATCATGAGTCAATGAGTAAGGCCGCGGCACGAACCGACTTTTCAGTCCATCCACGCACGCACGCACACTTACTTTTGCTCCACTTCCCTTCAACAGGCAGGTCATCCCGGTTATCATGACACGTACAACTTGCTGCGAATCCCGCCACTTGGACCGAGGCGAGACAGACTTGGGATGTGCGGACAAGACGCTGGAGAGAAGGATGCGAGAGACATTGAATGTGATTGAGGAGTGAATGGTGGAGTGGTGGAAATCGAAGCCGCCCGGCGTATTCAGGTACTTACTGAATTAGGCAAGGCGGAGTATGGCGGAGGGTTTTTTTTGCTTGGCTGATAGAGGAACTGCACCTCAACTGGTATCAAAGTATAGTATCCATTCGATATACATTAGTACTCGGAATATGCGTGACATCAGTTGGAAGCCATATCCAATCTCCGTACTATCGGATTATAACTAGTGGTGAGCTGGCGCCTCGTGCTTTACATGATCTATCATATGCCGCCCATGGTGAGGATCGAGCATGCATAAATACCTGGTGTACGGAGACAGAGTACTTCACCAACGAAAGACAAATAACTCAGCTTGACTGTCGTCGGTTTCCGACTAGACTGTCTACCGGCACGTCTGAGTTGCGGTCAAGGTGTGCAGTGTCGAGCAAATGCAGCTATTACCGGACTCAAGCATCAAAACAAAGTATATCAACATCAATGGATTTTTTTTTCGTATTTTGCCGTTATAAACTGCAGTGCGTTATCCTTGTGTGCTTTTTTTGTGCGCTCGCCCTAGTAACCTAGGGATTGCTCAAGCCGTTCTGACTTGCTTCCCTACTCCGAAACTCCAAACGCTATGCTGCCCAAGAGAGAAACACTTAGACCGTGACAATTATGAAGCAAGAAAAGACAAGAAGAACCATTTATCAATGTACAGCCATCCATACTGTCTCCACCCTTTTTTACAACAGCTCCTCGCACGTCCAGTCCTCATACCTGGCGACGCGAATTAGATGTGGCATTCAAGGCTTTTTACGGGACAAATCGTGCTTACCACCCATCAGGAAGATATCTCCGCACAATGAGAGGAATTTTCTTCTGGTTGAGTTCCTTGATAGCAATCTGCAAAGGGTCCGTTTCACCCTCAAGATCGACAAGCACCGGAGCGTTCATACTGATATTGCGGTCAGATTTACCCAGCACGCGTCCAGTCTGTTTGGAGACATGTCCAAGACCAACCTGATTTGCAGAGCTCGAGTTCCCAAGACACGCGCCCGCTCGTACTTGGTCATGTATGGGGTCGTCGTGCGCTGGTCGTTGGGCACCTTCTTCTCCCGCGCCTGCTCCATCACCTTGCCTGAATAGCCGGCATTCGGGTCGCCCGAGACAACAACACGGTCGCCATTCACGGCCGGCGCATAAGACTCGCCATAGTCGTCACCTCCCTCGGCGACATCCAGATCTTCGGGGTTGAGGAAGTCCTCGGGCTCGTTGTCATCGTAATCCTGCTCCGCGGGCTCGTAGTCGTAGCTGCAAGATAGAGGAAGATCAAAGTCAGATCATCATACATTCTCTTTAGATCCAAAGATAGCCGTTCACCAGCTGCGCGAATCCCGCGGTGCGCAATGCTAGCTACGGGTCATATCGAGGAAGCTCTTACTTATCCTCATCGCCGTGATCGCCGTAGTCCGACATGGTGCCGATCGAGATCAATAAAGACCGTAGACAAATTAATTGACCGTAGAAGAGACGAGGAGAGGCGCCGAGACCGCGACGGGATGAGTTGAGGTGAGACAAGGAGCGATGCGACAGCCTTGCTTTGTTGAGGTGCAGAAATCGTAGTTTGCGGACCTCCAAAAGGCGGAAAAAGTTCCTGTCGTCTCGTCCGGAACTAGTCCGTTTTAGGACATTCTTGCTCACCGCTTTGGCAAAATTTTATCTGCAGGGCTTCTCTTTTCGGGGTTCTTCTCCTCTCTCGATCGTCGATGCTTCGTCTCGTCATCTTTATCATGCTATCTAGCATTTTGGATGGATGAGGTAGCAGGTGACGGAATAATGAGTCAAAAAAGAAAGGCGACCGGGGATTTTCCTAGCCCGAAAAGGCTACAGAAGCTACCGACGCTGGATGATGATGTCGGTACGATAGAGAACATACTGCCGTTGCGATAGCATGCCCTTGCTAATACTCACACACCACAGACCCGATTTATCGAGAGGAAGACTCCGATGTCGAATATACATTTTCGGACAGTGACAGTGAAGCGGGCGACAGTCTTCACGAAACGCCTGCAACGCCCATGTCGACAACATCCTCCAGATATCCTTCCGAGCTGAAAACTCACCGCTGCCCGTTCGACGGTTGCACCAAAGCGTTCAACCGCCCAGCACGCCTTCAAGAGCATCTACGCTCTCACAACAATGAGCGTCTCTTCCAATGTCCTCAAGATGGCTGCGACAAGAACTTCCTCCGGGCATCCCATCTGAACCATCATGTCAAGAGCGCCCATACAGGGATCCGAGACTATGTCTGCGATCGTCCCGGCTGTGGAAAGAGCTTCGTGACAGGCTCCCGTCTCCGACGACATCTGGCTGCGCACGACGGGCGGGATAAGTACCGATGTACAGAGTATCCGCCCTGCGATGAAACCTTCCGAAAACACACGACCCTTCAAAAACACATTTTGAGCGCCCATCTCAACCAGAAACCTTTCCCGTGTGCACATTTTGATCCAGCCAGTGGCCAACGATGTTCCATGGCCTTTGATACCGCTGGACATCTCCGCGCGCATGAAAGCCGAGTCCACACCGAGAAACGCTTTACTTGCGCCGAATGCGCTCAGCGTGCGGATCTCGAACAAATTACCACGAACACCACAGTAGCAGGAGGACCAGCAACATTCCCTTCCTACGCCCTCCTCCAAGCCCACATTCGCGCCGCGCATCCACCACAATGCCCGCACTGCCCACTCACCTGCTCCACCACCCGCGAACTCCGCCGCCATCTGGAAGTCGCCCACGGCAACGTCCCCCTCTCGGACCGCAAAGTCTTTCCCTGTACTGTTCCCGGATGCGACAGCAGCTTCACAAAGAAGGGCAACCTGACTGTGCACGTGCGCACCGTCCACCAGGGAGAGAAGCGTTTCGTTTGCGGGGAGACCGACCTCTCGGCGTCGAAGCGCGTCGCCGGCTGGCCCGGCGGTGCCGTCCACGGCTGCGGCAAGCGCTACGGGAGCAAGCTGGCCCTCGAGGAACACATTCGCACGGCACACATGGGCTTTCCAAACGCCAAGGCGGAAAGACGCCAGCGGCTGGGCTTGACGCCGAAGGTCTCCGCCCAGCAGCGAAGTAATGCGGCCGCAGCAGGCGCAGGAGCAGGACCGTCGGCGTTGGCAGCGCTGACGGGCGCCGGTTATGCCGAGGAAACGGGCCGCCAGATACCGTGCATGCAGGGAGGGTGCGCGCATCGCTTCCACCGGAACTACGACCTCTGGGTGCATATGGGGAGCAAACATGGCTACTCGGAGGATGAGATTCGAGACCTGTTCATGCAGAAAGCCTTGCTGGCGGAGGATGGCGAGCAACAGTCTTCTTCTACTGCTGCTGCTTCTACGACTGCAGCCACGATGACGGCGGCGATGATGGGAGATCTTTTTGGGCTGTACGGATTGGAGTTTGACAACGACGACGATGGGCCAGGCTACGAGCCGTATGGCCTTAGTGGGAAGTCGGTTGCTGCCGGCCCAGCGGTTCAATATGGGAATGGGGAGGAGAGTGGTGGCGGTGGTGGCTACACAGCGGGAGGGTTTCCCTCGCATAATGAAATGATACACGATATTGATTCCAAGATACCCAGCGCGGCGGGTCCTACTGTTGATGACCTGGCGATGATTGATCCTTTGTTGGAGTTTAATAGCATGGCGGCATAAAGAAAAGTTCTGATATTGTTGGGAATCTGATTGATCTAGTTTCTCTTTCGGGACACACTTTTTCTTTTCCTTCTTTTTCTCCCTTAGACTATGGGATACCATGGCTGATCACTTTCGGGAATTTAATTGAAAAGTATGCCTATCTTTTTCCAGGTCTGGTCCCATCAACTTCTTCTCCGAGTGAAATATGTGAACTACATTCTAGAGCAATTCACAAATAGGGCTGTGACAAGCTGTTTATCTATACACAAGTGCACCGCAGAGTAAAGACTATCAAGGCCACTGCCCAGAGCTCAGTGCACATGCCTTGCTCACCAACTCTCACGGGGGATCCAAGCTACCAACTGTTGCACTCAAGAACCAAACCAAAGATGAGAATCTTGAGGACTATCACCACCTTTACACAATTCTACATCTGTTTGTTCATCTATCCACATCCTTTCCCAGTCATTCTATTTTGATATCTCCTTCATGAAAGATCATCGGGCGTAGATACATGAGGAAGGAAATAACAAAAATAGTCATCCCTCCAAGGGGGCCCTGGATGGAAATCTGCACATTTCCTTTCTCTGGGTGTCCTCAATTCTCAACAAAAATCAATCAAATCCAACGCGCGGTTCCGCTCGCTCCTGACTGCCACATAAGAGATGGGTGAGTAAAACCTGGGTTCCTGGAAAGATCAAGATTGGTCGAAGATATGAAGAAGATTGGAAAAGAACATGTATTAACAAGATTGTCCTGGGCGGTAGAGGGATGGAAAGGCTTGGAAGGAAGTGCGGGCTGAAAAAGGCAAGAGTGATTGTTTTTGTTTTCAATGTTCAATGTACCAGTTGGAGATCGGGGAGACTGGAACAGAGAGATTCGGCTCGTTATTGTCGTCAGAACGTGCCAATTCTCGGTGTTTTGTCTCAATGGTGGGAGTGTTGCAGAGAATGTTTAGGGGAGAGAGAGGTGTTGGTCAAGGTATGAGCGGAGATGAATCGACCAGCTGAAGCCGGGGCTGAGATGAGGAATTTTCCCGGTGCTCAGAAGAGAACCGAGACGTAACCATCTTTGTCGAAAATGTCATGCTCCTCCGGCTCGGGCTGGACTTTCCAAATAAGCTCCGGCTCAGGGACAGATGGAGGACGGTGCTGCACCGGGATCTACGACCAGAACGATTAGCTTTGGTAAGGTAGAAGGGACGAGAGGAACACTTGCCGGATCTTTACGAGGCCACACGTTTGCAAAGCTCGTCTCAACGGTGAGAGCGTCCTTGATGAGCTGTGCCTGTTGCTGAAACGAGCGTCGAGGGGGAGGGGGTCGTGCTCGGCGGACATCCTTGGCTGTGTCCATGCCATACAGCGAGACATTCTGCGCCAAGTCCTTCTCCAAGTCCTGGTCCGACCTCCACACGTCCTCGAAATAATCATCGTTGTCACCTTTCTGGCACCGCTTCTGGAATGGGACAGGGATGCGTGGGCTGGGATTGATGGCTTCCACGGGCACACAGAGTTGAGTCAAATGGCGTAAGAAGACAATCGCCTTTGGGCTTGCATCTCCTGCTGGGATGAGTGACGTGAAAACTCGAGCACAATCGCAAAACAGGTGCACGGCGGGAAGGCCTCTAGCAAGCGCCAGCCAGAGCGCGGTCTTCACGAGTAGATCGTACTTGTCGTTGCCCGCCTGTCTCAACGGCCAATAAGCTAGATCACCAATGGATGCCTGAGGACTGGACGCACGAGGGGCCTCGATGACCCTGGGCGGGAGCCATCCCCATTCGCGCGCCTTGTCCGGCTGGGTTCGGCAGAGAAGCGCCTTGTACGCATGGTAGAACACGGTGAGATTCATGTTGCTCTGGTTGTACTCGTCCCAGTGAAGCGTATCCTTGCAGGCGTCCATGCGTAGGTGCTTCATGCTTACGAAAGCCGAGCGTTCGACTGAGACTGGAAGGGGGTTGACGATCTTTCCTGTAAGTCATCAGTAAGAAGAGACGCTAGTCAAATGGGATGAAAGGTGTGTCTCGTTGGACTTACGCTCCTGCGGATCAAAGTGCAGAGCTGCAAGCACGTCCTTCTTGAAAGCGTTGATCATCTTGGTCGCTGCTTCGAGTTGCTGCCGGGCCTTGGTCGGATTCGCGCGTCTAAGACTCAGCCAGTAGACGGGGCTCGTCGAGTCGCCACGCAATGGCTCGAGGGGTCTTCTCAGGGTCTCAATCTCCGATGCAAAATAAGACTCGTCGATGATGTTGGTCGTGGTCCGCGGGACGAGCTCATCGAACACCTGCCCATAGCGTAACAAGAGATATCTCTCGAGCTCTTCTTGCATGTCCTGTAGTTCATCGTCGGTTGTGAAGCAGAGCATTAAGAGATGCTCATATGTCCCTGGGAAAGCGGATTGTGCGAGATCTGGCAGGGCTGATATCACCTCGTTACGGAGGGTGGATGGATCGAAACCCCTAGTAAACTGGGCCACCAGCTGATCAAGTTTCTCGTTCTCGGCCTCCACAATCTCCTGGTCTTTCTCTTCGATCATGGCACAGTGATGTGGTTCGTCAACGATGATGTCCATCGGCTGTGCGTCCACCGGGTTAGGCCCGCCCGGAACATACGAGAAGTAGTCCATGCTAATCAAGATTCAGGAGAACAGATATATGAAGGCTCGGGCTTGACTAATCTCGGATCTGAAGATAGATTCGTCCTTTGGAGCGTAGGTTAGAAGCAGGGAAAAGCTCAAACACAGCCAGACAAAGCCTTATTTCGGAGCGCCGTGAATCTCCCGAAGCGCCAGTCTTCTGACTGGGCCTCCGGGGATATACAGGCTCTTTGAAGATGACCAGTGAGGCTGTAAGCTGGAAGAGACTGCTATCGCCCCTCAGAGACGTGGCTCGATACTTAGGATGATAAAAGGAATGAGGAGGGATAGGGACAGGAAGGCGTGCAGAGAAAAAGGATGGATGCAGATGAGACCGGAGAAAGGTCTGAACTACAAACGCAAGAAAATAACACGGAGGACCTCAGGCAGTGAGTGTATCAGATGGTCATTCAACGAACATGGTGTGCTGCGCTGGTCCCCCCCATTGTTGCTTAGTCGGCAGCGCTGTCATCGGCGTCCTGAGGCATGAACGCACTAAGCAAACATTCTACCGTGCCTTCACTACTCCTCTTGCATACTCAGAATTATATGTGCTCCTGACTGAGAAACAAAGAAAGGCTCAGTCAAGCAAAATGCAATTGGGTAGACAATCTATACTCCTCGCCTGTCACTGTCATGAAAGCTTGGCATAAATCTGTTCATGATAGACGTGGGGAAAGTCCCCAGCAGCCAGTGTACGCCAGTCCGCTGTATGTTACACATTGCAAGTCTATCAAATCTTTTATCAGGACTCACTAATAACTACACGTCATTGTAACAAGGCATAAGTCTGATGAACTCGAGATACCACACTAAACAGGTCTTAATACTATCTCCCCAAGACACTGTGGATGGCCGAGTTTCTCCCCGCAGCTGACATATACTCTCACCGTTATATTAGACTACGCTTGTTGTTACTATGTCTGATCTCGAGCTAGACATAATTAGTCGAAGTCGGCCGGTTAGATGCCAACGATTCTGAGGTCCCGAGAACGATAAGTGATGTCGCGAATAATGATCTCTCAGGCGAGGTGGCTGACATATAAGAAGAAGACAGAACCCCAATAAAATTGCTGAAAGCGCCAACGATCAATTAATCGCCCAGGAATACCAGAAAGTCGAAAATCGCTGCTGCAACTGAGACTCAGTGAATCATCTATTTGTGATTAAATTGCCAATTTTCTCTATACCTGCGGATCTCCATGGCAGCCATACAAAACGTCGTTCTCAATACTTTGGTGCATATCAGGTTCAGACTGAGAACCTGTAAGGGACGATTCAGCACAACTAAGCTTGAGTTGCTCTGCAGTCACTGCGCCCGCACTTCCAATCACCGGACGAAGTGGACAGTCACTCTGATGATAGCGAAACTGGCCATTCAGCCATGCGGTTAGGGCTAACTAGCGGAACTCTTAGCGCCCATGGTTCTTACCCGCCCCCGCACCTGAACTTGTTGTTCCTGCTGTTGTGCTTATTGTCGTTCGACTGATTTCTCTACACATTTTTGCTCCTGCTTTGAATAAAATTTGCAGACGATGTCTTTTGTACCCTCGGTGGCCTGTTTTATTCTCTTGCCTGTTGCCTATCTTCAAATAATGGAAGACGATCCAGGTTCGCCCCTTCCTCGTTGCCGGACACGACTCGACTGTCTTACACCTTGGCTATTATCAAGAGTACCATTGACCTCTCCTATAACAAGTTGTCGAATTGCTCATCTGAAACGGCATACAAATAAGCAGAGCAAGAAAACTCATGGGAGCTTTACCGATGAGCTGCGTCGCTGGTATATACAGTTAGGCACTGTGCTCCGCCAGTCGAACAGGATTGCCGGAAAAATAGTTCCAGGGTCGTTGGCAGGTAAATATGAAAGCTGAGGCCTCGACCCGACAATTATCAGTCCGAATCATTTAAGTAGCGAGGTCAAGAACAAGAGCTGGGAGCCATGTCTGAGTGGGGGCTCGGCCGCATAACTACAGGAAAAAATGCGCCTGACCCAAAGGACAAATGCAGCTGCAAGCAAAGGATTCTGTCTACTGACGCAAGCTCCACGCCAGCAACACACCGAGGGAAAGATTTGCAGCACCAGATCTAGATCTTGAGGGACTATACGGGACCGGTCCAGTATAGCAAGCAGGGGGCGGAACCCGAGACGGCTCTTTCATCAATCACGGGATAGCCATAATCGACTGAATGAAATGACATGATGGTTATTGTCACAATGTCACTCAACAGTCCGGATGCATCGGCAAGATAAGCTACTGAGTAGCATCTTATTTCAACTTGGCAAACAGAACTCATGCTGCATGCGAGGTAGAACAAGCGGGGTAGATACTAATTAGTTTAGAGTGACCGGACGGTGGATCATATGCTAGCTATGGCGTGCTGTGCCGCCTTCCATCGTTCCTGCCTTGCTAGCCACCAATACTGTCTACCGTCACTAATAAAACCCGCCGTCCATCTACACTTCTCATCTACACTTCTCACCTCTATCGCCAATCTATACTGTCTTCAGTCAATCCCCCTGCCATTCCCATGATGAGCGACTCACAGGACTTAGACAAGCTGCTGAGCAAGCTCACTCGCGACGAGAAGATCTCTCTACTGGCAGCAGCCGACTGGTGGCGCACGCAGGTCATAAAGCGCGATGATGTCTTCGTCCCACACGTCAAGGTCGGCTTCCTTCGCTCAGTCGACACTTTGCCCCGATGGCACGATGCACTTCAACCCAAACGCTAATCTATCCCGCCTTGTACAGTTCACAGATGGTCACAACGGTGCGCGAGGCGAGAGCTATGTCAGCGGTATCAAAGCTGCCTGCTTCCCCTGCGGCACCAGCCTTGGGGCGACCTTTGACCGCGAGCTGCTCTTCCGCACAGGAAAGGAGATCGCCCGCGAAGCCCAGACAAAGGCCGCGAATGTCCTACTCGCTCCTACCATGAATGTCATACGTTCCCCCCGAGGTATCTTTACCCTGCAATCTACGCAGTGAGACACAGGCCGATATCAATGATATCTCCTAGGGGGACGGAATTATGAGACTTACTCCGAGGACCCCTTCGTGCTGGGAGCTCTGGCGGCAGCCTTTGTCAATGGTAGGATCTGCAATCGCAGGCCCCTCTCTTTTGCCAGTTTGTTTACCTGATTCAATTAGGTTGCCAGTCCATTGGTATTGCCGCCACTCCGAAGCACTACGTGGCCAACGACACTGAGAACAACCGCAAACTTCTGACCGCCGACATTGACGAGCAAACTCTTCGTGAGATCTACATGCTTCCATTTCAATTACTGATGAGATGGGCTGGCCCACTTTGTTTCATGACCAGGTATGCGACCAGGTCACCAAAGCAGTGGTCTCACCGGACAATTAATTGACTGACCTGGCTTCATGGTGCAGCTACAACCGCGTGAACGGAAAATATGTTGCTGATAATCCCCAACTAGTCAATCAGGTCCTGCGAGGCGAATGGGGCTTTGATGAAGTGGTTGTTTCAGATTGGATGGGGGTGTACTCTACTGCAGACAGCATAAATGCAGGGGTGGATTTGGAAATGCCCGGGCCAACGAGATGGCGCGGGGAGAAGCTCGCGCGAGCGGTAAATGATGGGCATGTAGCTGAGCAGATCGTCGACGAGTCATCTCGCAGAATCCTGCAGCTTGCCTGTCGTCTCAAGAGGTTCGAACTTCCCGAGGAACCACCCGAAGATGCAGTCGAGAACCCTGAGAGAGATGAGTTTATCTGTGACAGTGGTGCAGAGAGTATGATCCTCTTAAAGGACGAAAACATTCTTCCACTGCCAAAAGGTGTCACAGTGGCTTTGATAGGACACCATGCTATGGAAGCCAGTCTTGGTGGAGGAGGGAGTGCGCGGGTATATTCCCTGCACGCTGTCTCACCCAAAGAGGGACTCGATCAAGCTGGCTTTCAAGTCAAGGCTGTGCCTGGAGTTCCAGTATTTGGTTCCCTGCCGCATGCTGATCCTTCAATCATGTTTTCCTCGGATACTAAGATGCAGGCAAAGGAGCCAGTAAACCTGGAATGGTTCAATGGCCATGTGATTGGTAAGGGCCCGGTCTTTTCAGAGACCAAAGAGCAGGCCGAGTACATGATCAAGGAGAAATGGCCGGACTGCCTCAGTCAAGACTACTGCACCCGAATGACTTTTGGTATTCGTCCGTTAACGTCTGGGGAGCACATCTTGTCTATCATTTCGACCGGGCCTGCAGTCTGCTATATCAATGGTGACAAGGTTTTTGAGAGACCTCAAGAGACCGACTTGCGTCCAGAATCTTTTTACTTTTTCAAGTCGAGGTTGGAGCGACGGTTTACCTACCCAATGCAAGCAGGTCAATCATACACGCTAATGCTAGAATCGTGGAATACCGATCCTCTTATTCTCCATGCCAAGCCTCTCTTCGGTCGAATGTTCCAAGGGTCTGCTCTGCGGTTTCATGAGTTTATCGATATTCCCAGCAGAATCGAAGATGCGCGTACAGTAGCACAGGAAGTGGAGTATGCCATCGTCTGCGTGGGAACGACCAACGAGATTGAATCTGAAGGATTCGATTGGGAGTCTATAGATCTATCGTCCCTTCAGTACGAGCAGATCGCCGCTGTCGCTGCGGTAAACCCTCGCACAATCGTGGTGAATTTCAGCGGAGGACCCGTTGGGCTCAACCAATTTATAAATTCCGTGCCAGCAGTTGTGCAGGCATGGTTTCCAGGTCAAGAAGCTGGTCATTCATTGGCACGCGTGCTCGGCGGAGACACGAACCCCGGCGGTCGTCTCCCCTTCTCGTGGCCACGTCGAGATGAAGACAATCCCAGCTTTCCCAATTTCCCGTGCGACGAGAACAACGTGATCCGATATGCCGAAGGGCTTGACGTTGGTAATAGATACTATGATCGCCCGGAGAACCCAGAGCCACTGTTTCCGTTTGGGTTCGGCCTGTCTTATACCTACTTCAAGGTCTTCGGAGTTTGTATCACAGACACGTCGGTCTCAGATCCAGAAAGCACGGTGGTAGTCTCTTGTCGGGTTCGGAACATCGGGATACGAAGGGGGGCAACTGTCATTCAGTACTACGTCAGCCCGCCACGGGACAGGGTGGAGAGCCAACGGCCATTGAAAGAACTTAAGGAGTTCCGAAAATTGAGCCTACAGCCCGGCGAAGTGCAGGATATGTCTGTCACGTTGGATAAATACAGTGTCAGCAGTTACAATGCTCAACAGCACTGCTGGGAGGTAAGGGAGGGTCAATACAAAGTGCATGTCGGGCTTTCATCTACAGAGATTTCTTCGACAGTTGGCTTTCATGTTGGCCGAGGCTTCAAGTGGCGCGGTCTATAGATGTGGTTCATAGATGGCGGATGGGGCTATGGAGAAGAGATGGTCGAGACAACCAAGAACTCCGTTCATGGGTAGAAAAGAAGAGGAAGGCCCGCAGGGCCTTCGCTCTGATCTATGTGCTGTACGTATTGAGTACCATGGGTGCCTAAGGCACCATGGTCGGAAATATGACGGGTCGTCAAGGAGCAGAAGTTTGCGCTCTGGGTTGTGATGGTGTATGCTCTGAAGTCCAGTCTGATGTCAGCCATTACACCGCTGTCTCTCATTGAGATATCACAGCAGCTCGGGGTTTGATTCCCCTTTTTTGTGTTCGTTTTGTTACATACACAGTCGGTCTACCTGGTCTACCTAGTCTGCCTTTTGTGTTTTGTTTTTCTTTGCATAGCAACGGATCTATACTCATTGCGCGAGTAGATTTCTTATCTTACTTATAAGAAAAAATAAAGGCCAGGCTAAGACAAAAAGAAGTCTCTGGGTGTGCATGATACCAAATTTTCGGTCGGTTGTTCATACAACCAACCTTCTTCCCCTGCACAGTGGGCCCGCCCACCCAGATAAGAATATATGAGAGCAAAAAGTCAACTCCGATGCGGGGAATCGAACCCCGAGCTGCTGTGATATCTCAATGAGAGACAGCGATGTTAGCCATTACACCACATCGGATCTTGTTGGAAGGATGTCAACGTTATAGCGTTGTCACGTCTTTGCTAGTTCTTGACAGAGTTGAACCCCAACCGCAATAGAAGCCTGAAACTTAGAACCCGAATTTTAAGCTCAAGTCCCGCATATACATTGCGGGTTGTCCTGTGATACAGATTAGCCGCCTTATGCCTACCTACGCTCCTCCTAGCATTTTACCCATAAGATGTGGAAAGGCGCTCATTTCCGAGTATACATCGCTGATACAATAATCGGGCACCCAGCTTGTCTTCTCTTCTCCTACTACCACAGGATCGCCAGCCAGCGTGCGCATCATCAGATCGGGGACCTTTTTGTAGGGCTCGTTGCGCGAGCAAGATTTAGAATCGCCAAATCGAATTAGCAGGCTCTGCGAAGTAAAGACACCCCCCATAACCTGTCCCACAAGCTGATTGAACCTACCCTGGGCTCCAGTCTCGTCACCTACAAAAACATGCTCGTGGGACAGGCTATGGGGGAGTGCTGGTGGCGTTTCCTGAATAGCAGCCTCTTTCTCGGTGAACGAACCGGAAATCCAAGCTATTGTAAGGAGTATGTGCGAAATGATAATCACCGCTAACCAGGAAGAGTAGTTAGTAATAAAAGTTAATCAACCACTCTCCTGTACATGCCCAGAATTCGACATGTCTAAGATTGCGAAACTCCGACAACCTTGAACACTGAAACCAATCTTCACTGAGAAAGGGAACATTAAGGAACTCCATCCTCCTGACAACATTGGAGTGTATCACGAGAAAAGAAAAGAACTCCATTTGGGCCCTAAAAAGGACAGCGGCAGGTCCGTGGAGTCTCTTGGCCGCATCGCCGGGAAACTCGGACGAGCACGATTATTCCTAGGCAGAATCATCCAGGGATCTCAAGCAAGTTCCCCTGCCCATCCCTCAAAGGGCAGTGATGCATCCCTTGAAGGGCTCGACTTTGGATGCCCTTTGATCCGCATCA